ACATGTTTCAGTCGAGATTGGATTCTTAAAAAATCTGCTGGTAGGGGAAAAACGAAAACTGTTCTCTGAGTCGAGCGAAATCGGCATTTCCGCTGGTGCAGAAAGGAGCCTTTAGTATAGTCCCAGGAGACCGACGTGCGGGAGGGAAGGGGACAGGGAGGTGGCCCAACCGGGTCCGCAGCCTGCGCGGGGTCTGCAGCCAGGGCTCGCCCGCCGGTGGGGTCGGGCCTGAGGCCTTTCCAGAATCTAGGTACCCAGGACAGCCCTGGCTACTGAGCCCGAGGCTTCTTTTCAATTCCAAAGATCAGTTTTGTTACTGTGGCCGGGCACGCTAGTTTGGGCAAGAGACTGTGGGCTAGCCGGGGGCGAGGGGCGCAACCCCCAGAGACACCGGGCTAAGTTGCTGGGGAGAGCTCTGGAGAGGAGGTCCATGTGGCTTCCCCAGTCAAGGGAGGTGTGGGTGTTAGCTATTCCCAGAGAGCGCCCAGGGGTTGGTGTCCCCGATCACCGGTCCCGGGTCTCTGCGGGACTCCGCGGGCACCTTAGCCCCCCCCCCGCCCCCCGCCCCGCTTTACGTCAATAGACTATCCGGGAGGTGCAGGGCAGGACTTACAGTGTGTTTGGTGCCAAAACAATAATGTGACATGTTCCTCCAGCATTTGTCCGCTGGCTCCAGGGAAGGCCTACCCGGCAGCCCCTACCGGGAGTCGTGTCCTCAGAGCCGAGGAGAAAAGGCCATCCTCTCCCTGGTGCAGCCGCGCGCTTCCCGCGCCGGGCGCTGCTGGGCACAGAGGCACAACAGGAAGGCTTCGCCAGAGGGCCCTTCCCAGGCAGTTTCCTCGCCATAAAAAGCCAGACTCCAGCCGAGGGCCTGACCCCTTCCAAATATACATTCTCTCGCCCGCGGCCCGTCACTCCAGCCCGGCCTTCGGGCTGTGCGGCTTCTTCTCAGGCCAGCAGGGACCCAGTGCCGCCCCGAAGCATCGGGAGTCCGAGGAGCCCCATTTTGTTGCCTTCCCTTGTTCACCAGCTCCCTTGCCCTCGTGCTGTTGGCCTGAAGGCTGCCGCGCACCAGTGAGCCCAGGGCCACAGATGTGAGGGTTTTCTTTTTATGAATGACAATGCTTTCTCACCTCAACTCTGCTCTGGGGACCCCCGAGTTGGGAAGCGCGAGGCTACAGGCCACTGTACACGTGCAGGGTCCCAGCCCGCTGGGGCCTGAGTTAAGGGACTCCTGGCCTGCGCATGCGCACGCGCGGCGCCTCCGGGTCCGTAGCGGTCAGCGGGCCCATTTAGCCTCTCCTTCGAGGCCAAAGCTTGGACACCCAGAGATTTAGAGCCTCGCAGAAGGTCGAGGTGCTAGTGAGCTGGCCCAGGCCTCCGCATCGGCCGTCGGGGATCTTTGCAGCCACCTCGGCAGCGCACCCAGGCGGGCACCTTGGCCCCCAAATTCAGAGATCAAAGGGGCAGCATAAACTTGGGCGTCTGCTGTGTGTGACCCTGACCCTGGAGGAAGGGCGGGAACCTGGGAGTGGGCGGTGGGGCCGGAGGTCAGGCCTCGATCCAGGGCCCCCAACAGTCATTCTTGCCCAGGACTCGTTTGAGGATGTGGTGGGGGGCCCTGCCATCATATTCTTTCTTAACTAGGACCTTGGGAAGATCTCTGGCGGTTCTGGTCACTTCCGGTGAGAGTCGCAGGAGAAGCCCACTACATGGAACTCTGCAGATTGCTGGGCAGCCTCGAAGGCCAGGGTCACCGAAACGGTGGTGGTCCAGTAGCAGGCCTTATCCCCAATGGCATGCTACCTGAAAATGTGTTCCACCAACCCCAGGTTATGTGCGGGGACAGGGACACGGTGGAACTAGGGGTGAAGGAGCAAGGGACTGCTGGGCACAGGGCAGCAGTGTCTCACCCTACTTCCAAAAAAGACTCAGGCTCTGTGTTTTCAAAGGATACTGAGAACCATGGGAAGCCAGGACTGTAGGGTGTGAGCCACCTCTCAGAACTGCCTTGTGTCCCAGTTGTCCGCTGCTGTTTGTGAAAATTCTCAGAACCCCCAATTGTGAAATATCCCAGTGTTTGGGGAGGTGCAGATGGCATGCTGGGACTTTCTGATCTGTCTGTAACACACACACACACACACACACACAATCTTTGTGTGACACCCGCATGGGAGCTCCCCTACTCATGACATCCTCTGAGTAATTAAGGCTACAGTGCCAGGATTGATCGGAAAATATTCCATGTATGAATTGGATTCTTTGGGATACTCTTTAAAACAGAATGCCAAATACAAATACCTTTTGCTTTGAGGTGTTTTGGGGGGAGGGCTTAGAAAGTTATTTATAAGTGATGCACTTGTTTGTTTAGTTGCTGGGGATGTATCTGGGGCCTCATGCATTTGCCTAGGTTAGGCAAATGCTCTACCCCTGAGCTACACCACCAACGCCAAGGTTATTATTTTAAAATAAAAACTTTTAAATGTTGCCTCTTGCTCCTAGTTTTAATAGCATAGAAAAAGTAGTATTCACCAGCAGCCCACCAACTTCTTGGCTGCCAGGGATATGAGGTTTGGTGGTTGGTGTTGGCAAGGCCATTAAAAGGGAATAAAAGAAGCCTGAAACGATTTCTATCGGTTCACAGCACTGGATCTGCCCCTTACCTGGCACACAATTCAGACAGGCAATCTAGCTTCCTAAGGAGCCATCTTGTGCAGAACATTATCTGTGGAAGCACTTTAGCACTTTCCTTAAGGTGATGCAGCCCCACAGCCAGCCCTGGGCCCCTACACAGCTGCAGAGGTGTGACAGGTTTATTATGTTGGGGCCTAGCTCACTTGCTGGCTCATAATTCCTTCAAGAGCCGGCAGATAAAGCCCACAACTGGGGCTGGCAGGCAGGTCAGTTGGAAAGTAAGGCCACTGGGCAGCCCAAGTATCTATACTTGTCTTTCCTCTAATGAACAAATATGGGTTTGACTGCTTTGCCATAATAGTTGGGCATACTGAAAGTTTAACACTTAGTTTTTACCCACCCCCCAAAAAATCAAGGTGGGAGATGTTTTATAATATTTAAAATTAACAGCCCAAATTTACAAAGCAGGAAAAAGAGAATGCTTACAGGACAAAAGAAAAAACATTGAAATGAAATTGAGATTTAAGATCAAAGAATCCCTTTAATATGGATTGTCTTGAAGGATGGCCACAGGAAAGAAAAATACAGAAACAAATCTGTTCTTTTTTTTCTGCTTTTAAACATACATCCCATCAGGAGAACAAATGAACCCCCCTCCACCCTGCCATCAACTGAGGGGTCAGGAAGAATGAGAAGGTTGCAATTAACAATAACTTGTTCCTTCAAAAACTGATGCTCCAGTCTATGTTGAGAAGTATAATTTAACAATGGCTGCACTGGAGTTGTATTAAACTCCTGCCTAGAATCTCTCCTACTCCTCCCTGACCAGCTTATGATGGCTTTGGGCTAAAAAGCCACAAAACATTGTATTAAATGGGGTTACTGTCAGCCTGAAGTCGCCTGAAATATTCTCTTCTGGGTGTGAGATGAAGGGCTAAGGTGGTCAGAGAAGAGGTGCCTGTCAGGGTCAAGGCAAAGAGGAGAGTGATTATTTCTGAGATTTGTATGTATATAATTGTGTTTGTGACAGCAGGTTTTTGAGTTGTGTTTGCAAGTGTTTGTGTGATAGTGTGTAAGATGTTATGTTGGTGAGTATATTTGTGAATGGATGTGTTTTGTGTGTGACAGTGTATGCTTTTGTGAGTGTGTATATGTTTGTGTGTGCTTACCAGCCCACCTAGTCCTGGAGGCTGGGTCTCTGAGGGACCATCTGCTTCCAATTAGCAGCATCCAGCTTGGGAGTTGGGAGAAGTCTCCTCCTGGGGCAGCTTCTGAGAACCGGGTGGGCCAGCTCAGGCTGCCCTAGTTCTGCTCCATGGAAGCTGAGGCCGCCCAGGCCAGCATGCTTTCACAGGGACTGGGGCAGCCACACAAAGAGCCCTCTCTCCTACACCAGCCTTGGAGCCCTGATCCTCCCCCAGATCATAAACCTGCCTGAGAAGACATTCAGAAATAGTTCACCCGTACTCACACACGCATGTGCAAAGGCTAGAATTCCATTTGCTGTAAAGTTTTATTTTATTTTGCTTGGAAGAGAAGTGTGTAGGGGGGAAGAGTCCTGACCTAATTTGTTCTAGGGGAAAATACTGTATTTCATGCGGGGGTATACACCTGTACACAACTCTTTGCTTGCTGCCTGGAGGTATTCTGTACATATTTCTGTCAACCTACTTGTAGCTGTACACTGTACATACACAGTTCAGGAGAATTTGCCTGTGGTCACACCCAGGACACCTAAATGATGCACTCAGTGAAACTGGATCCAGTGATCTGAGGCTGGGCCTTAAATGTCTTTATTATAAATTCTAATTAACACTGACGTAGTTCAAGTGTGTAGCACAATGTCTGACACATATTAGGCACAATATAAGTGGGTTGAATGAATAAACCAAAATTCAGTTTAAAAAAGTGATCTAGTACTGATGAGAAGAGGTTGTAAATAAGCATTGTGTGAAAGAGTCTAGACCCCAAAGAAAGGAAGGAGTGAAGACCTCTGGGTAACCCAGGGGCATGGAATGCTGCAACAATATTTACTTACCTTCAAGTTTCTTCTTGTAACCCCATTTCTCAAGCTTTCTTTTGAGATGGTGGAAGCCCAGTGGTTTCTAATTATAGTCAGCAGAGACCAGAGAGGGTGTGAATGCCTCACTTCTACTGGAAATCAGTTTCCAGAGTAACATTGTTACCAAGAAGGGAAAGGAATGTCTCAGGACTCTCTGGAAGCCTACAGGGTCTTGGGAGCCCTGGCTTGAAGGGAGCACAGCCTGGGGGAAACATTTCATTCCAAGGCATGGGTTTTGGCATTTTTGTTTGGGGCCCTTATAACTGTTTTTTATAACTTTGGAAAAACATAGTGACTCTGTTAATGCTAGTTCATAAAAAGATCGTATTTAATAAGAAAAAACAATTTAAAGGCCCCAGAATTTAAGTTGTCTAAGTGACATAATTTCAAGTAAATATGTGAATATGTGATTAAAACATCTTGATTTCACAAAACCATTCAGAGGAGGCTTCGACAAAAGCAAAGCGGCCAAATCCCGGAGTGTCACGTCCCGGTTGCTACAAACCTGGCGGCCCTCGCTCCCGCCAGCGGGGACAAGGCAGTGGCGGCGAGGGTCACAGGGTACCGACTGGATTTGCCTGCCCCTCCCGGGTACATCCCAGCGCGTGTCTCCGCCTGTAACCCCGCACCAGCCGGCGCCAAGCGGGACGACAGGTCGGAGGGCGCCGGGGCTCTGAGGCCGCGCTCAGGCATTGGGGTTGGTCCTCATGAGCTCCACGTCGGCGTGCACCATCTCCCTCACCAGCTCCTGCGACCGGAGACACAGGGTGGGCGGTGAGGGAGGAGCTTCTGCCACTCTCTCTGGGTGACACCCTCACCCCGGGTGGCGGCCCCAGAGAGGCCTCCCGCACCCCGCCCGCTGCCCCGGGCCGCCTCCGCCAGGCCCAGCCCTCCCTCCTCCCCAACCCGGCCCTCCCCGCCTCCCCGCCTTGGGCACCGCAGACGCCGGGCGAGGCCTTACCCAGAGCTGCTGCCCCAAGCCCCGGCCGACCTGCCCCGCAGCCGGCGACTCTGAGGATTCCGCCCGTGAAGGCGACACTTACATCAAAAGCGACCCGAGGCTTCCAGTTCAGCTTCTGTTTCGCTTTGGTGCAGTCTCCTTGCAGAAAGTCCTAGGGGAAGAGATGGATAAAGCGGGCGTGCGTGGGTCGCGCTGCGCGGACACCCAACGTCGCATTGCCGTCGGCCCGCGCGCTCCCTCCCAGCGCACAAGGCTCCCCCTGTCCCTTCTTACAGTCCCCTCCGGGCGCCTTCCGTTGCGGCTCTCGGGAGCGGTAAATCCCAAGAAGGTGCTGCTCAAGCCAGCTAGGTCCGCGACAGCGATCAGTCCCAGCTCGCTCCAGCCACCTCCTCCGGCCCACCCCCTTCGCCCCACCGCGCCCCATTGACTCTTAATGGCTTTTTTTTTTTTTAAACATTAAGTTGTCAGGGATGCTACTGTGAGAACTGTTTCGAATTACTGTACTTTTCAGACAAGAGGAGGAGTAAATCATCCCGAGCCCCCTCCCCGCCCCCTCGGCGATGCTGGGCTCGGGTGGTGGCGCGGGCACTGAGCGCCTGACCTCGGGTGCTCTTATTCCACCCAAAGCCACCAGCCACGCGGGGGCGGGACTCCTCTAGTAGAGGCGCAAGGTCCGGGGACCGGGTTCTGGGCGGCAGAAAGCAGCAGGCTCCTCTTTAATGGACCCGTTGAGTGTCGATTCCCAGCCGGCAGCCTGGAGCAATTCTTCTCAGGCGGCAGCTCGGGATTTTCTGGCCAAGGTAAAGTCAGCTCATGTTGCCTGCAGCACACTCACATGTTTATAAACCGAAACTGAAGTTTTATGAAGCAATATTTACCCTTACCATCCAGGGGCACTAGGTCTACTATTCTACTATTCTGTTTTATTCTACTCCCTAGAAAATGCTGATCTCGATCCACTGCATTTCATACCCACTAACTAGTTGCAACCAGCAGTCTGAAAACATTGCTTTCCGAGGCCCTGAAGCTTCCTTAGCTTCGGTCCTTTCCATCAGCTTCCTTTTTCTCCCAATGCTCCCAAGCAACTCGGTGGAAGATCTAGCTAACTTTTCAAAGAACCTTCAGCTCTACACAAGAGGCGGGGGCTGCCATGTTCTTGATACTAGAGTTTCTCATCCCAGCCAAGAGGACCTTATCAAAATATATTTTAATAGGAGGCCAGTGGCTCTTGATCTGCCTGCTCAGCTTCTACCTTACAGGGAGGGAAACACAAACACGCCAGGATTTCATCGAGAGTTCTAGAGGAACAAGGGAAGTTCATTTCCACCCATTTAAGAGTCTTCCTTGGAAAGAAGACTGGTAAAAGGAAAGGGGTAGAGAAGAAATTAATCCTGCATCTCAGCCCTCTCTTACCAATTTGTTTATTACAAGTCTCTGAAGACTGATTTAGTTGAAGATTATGGACAGAATTTCAAGATGAGGTGCAAGAAGAAGGAAAGGAAAGGAAGGGTGAATGAAGGAAGAAAGGAATAATCAGACAACAAAGACTCTGAGCTACATCATTTTTAGAAGAGATGAACACTGAGCTCTTTCATACTCTTATGTTTTCATCAAATAATACAGAATATATGAATCTTCAAATAGGCAGCAGAACATGCAGGTGGTATGAAAAGAGGCAATTTTTAAGGTGAGCAATACTCAAGATGCACACAGAAAGAAAATGTCTAAAACCAGTTACATCAAGTGAAAGTAACAGATAACCAAGCTGCAGTTGGAAGCCTTTCCTGCTTACTTGCTTCAGATTCCCCTGAACTTGGCAGGCATGGGGACTTTGTTCTAGATTTATGCTGGGGTGGGGCCTGTTGGCACTGCCCACTGGGTGCTCACCTTCTCTGCTCAGCCTTCTCCAATGGAAGCATGTCTGAAACCATGCTCTGGCAGAGGACATTTAGCCATCTCACTCCCAATCATCCATCACTGTGTTTTAGGCTTGAATAAATCAAACTCCCAAAGGCTTTGCATTTCACAATACACTGAAGTACCCATTTCCTCCCGAGAGTGTTAACAAGTTTTTTTTTTTTTCCCCCCTTGCTGGCCTATATACAGATTCCTCAGGAAAGGTAGGATACAAAAATTAGTAATTAGCAATTTAACACAGTGCTACATGAGCTACCAATGTAAGTGGAAAACAAACCAAATAATTTATTTCTCTTTCCTTCCCCTAAATAAATGTGTATATATACTTATACAATGCTTCTCTTTTACTATAAGAGCCACACAAAGATATTCATTCTTTTTCCCCAAAGGAAGCTGTGCAGTGTGCAGTCCTGAAGCAACCAACAGGGCCAGTCCCTCCCCTCCCTCCATCCTATAGCAGCTACACAGCTCAGAGAAACATGCTTATTGTTTAATCACATAACACTGGCTGTAAATCAACCAGCACTGCATAGGATGCAATTCATGGCTGTGAACTTATAGTTAGCAAAACCCTAAAACCCAGTTTGGCTTCAAATGATCTCAGTAGGCTTGGGAAAGGGAGCTTTGTATTGTAATTATGTTTCCTGTATTTTTCTACAAGTAGCTCATAATATAAAAACAACCAGGGAACTACAATTAAGGAAAAAGAAAAATGGTTTTCAAAAGCTTAGAAACAGACATTGCTACCATACACTGTGAAAGTATTTCATTGAAACCAGAGACGAGCCCAGTTAAACTTCCCAATTTAGTTTGAGCACAGCTTTTACACTGCAGGCTAGCTGCTCCCTTCAACCTTCTGCCAAGGCTCTGTCTCCCTGAAATCTAATTAGACCAAGAACCCTTGAGAAAGAAGAGGATGAGGTCCCATCAGAACAAAACAGTGGCCTTCCATGCCAGCACCACTAAGCTGACATCTGCTTGTGCCCAGTCAATATGCTTATCTCCAATCAGCTTTTTTAATCCCAGAGCTAGGATGGAACCCAGAGCCTTGCACATGCTAGACAAATGAGCTGCACCCCTGGATCTCCAACCAACTTATAAAGAAAGATTAAGGACTTCCTATCTTGTTTTGTACTTAACTGTTCCTGAAGAAATTTAAGAAATTTCTTTTTCCTGTGGTATCTTCTATAGTAAAGATCCAGTCATGGTTCATTTTGCAAGGTTTGGGGCACAGGCACAGTGACAGGGTCTAGGTGGTAGAGTGCACAAAGCTCTGGATGAGAGGTAGACACGGAGACATTTCTTTAAACTTGGCTGCCCCTGGCCTGTGGAGAAGTCATGTGGCAGAAACTGTATTTTTACAAGGCATTCAAGTGCTAGATGCTCCTTTTATATTTAACTGTTCTTACAACTTTGGAACTTTTACAGACCCCCTCCACTAGGGCATGACCAACTCCTGAGGACAAGTGAGAGGGATGAGTTTATCTATTTTGCTCTTTTTTTTTTTTTTTTAAATTTCATTTGCTTCTTTAATTACAGGCTTAAAGATGTAGTATGACAACAGGGGCAAAAGCTGAACTAAAGTGATGATTTTATGTATAGTTTCCAGAAAGGACTCTGTGCACTGGGTGGTCTGGAGCTTTTCTGGAAGACAGAGAGAGAGAATGAACAAAGCTCTGAGAAAAATTTAAAGCATTTCTATGTGAATATGACATTTCCTGAACTCTGGCTTCTGGTGTCTTCACTGTTTTCATTGCTATTCCTTAGGTGAACTCTACAGTTTCAATATGTAATTTATTATTGTCAAATTCAATTAGGTTTAACTGAGCATTTTACAGCAGCCAACACGAGCAAAGGGAAACAAAAAAAAAAAAAAAAAAAGCCTCTGTCCAGACACCCCTTCCTTTCCCTCAGACTCCCTGACTGTTTTTTATTCATTTGACCTTTAGGAATTGTCCTCTAGCTACAGCGTGACCCTGAAGGCTCCGCACCCATGGTCAGAGCTGCACACAGCAGCCTGGCAGAAGGGCATGTTTTCTGCAGCAATTTTTCAGGCTTTCCTGGCTCATGTTCTTGTCATAGTGAACTGATAAAGTGCCAGACCAAATCCTGGAAAAGTCATTAAGCCAGTTCCTGAGGCCACAGTAGTTAACGGAAAATCCAGAAAAGGAGTGCCCACACTGCCATTATCTTCTCCCCTAACTATAGGTCCCTTTCCTCAAATATCTAGGGTCATCCCTTCTCATCTCAAGATAACAACACACCTTTAAATTACACTGGTTACTTTTTTTCCTTCCCCTAATCTTATTTTCATCATTCTTTACACGTTAAGTCCGTTTCCCACCACCCTACCTAAAATCACTGTAGGCAATGCTATTATGTAGATAGCACATGTATCCTATGAAGCACATAGGATATATTTTCTTTATTCTTTTCTTGTCTTTTTGAGGTACTGGGGATTGAACTCAGGGGCACTTCATCACTGAATTATATCCCCGAACCTTTTTATTTATTTATTATTTATTAAAATTTGAAAAAGAGTCTCACTAAGTTGCTGAGGTTAAGCCTCAAACTTGGCAATCCTTCTGCTTCAGCCTCCTGAGTAACTGGGATTGCAGGTATGTGCCACCACTCCTGGCAGGATAATGTTTCTAAGCCAGCAATCTCATTTCTTTTTTTCCCTTTTTCACTGACTTTGTTTTGGGAAAATTTATTATTAGTCAAAATTACGTGTTGGATACCACATTTCCTCAATAGGTCTGCTGGTAAGGTTTGCAGAGAACATCTGTTGAGGTGGAGAGAAATTTTAAGAGTGTGAGTTCTCTTGGCAGGATGTTGTTAAATTTCTAATGTACATATTGAAAGAAATTGACTCTTGAGTGCTATAAATAAGAAGAAGGTGTATAGACAGAGGATGTTACTAAGGAAAACCAAGGCTGATGGAAACCAAGGTTAAACATCTTTAGGAATTTAAGACATGGAGCTGTTAGTGGCACAAAAATATATTCATTTTTTCCTCCTATTTTTCTTAGAAAAGCAAAACGAGGAATAGCTCAGGTTCTAAGGGAATAAAAGAATGCCAATGAGGGGCTGGGGTTGTGGCTCAGTGGCAGAGTGCTTGTGAGGCACTGGGTTTGATTCTCAGCACCACATATAAATGAGTAAAACAAAGGTCCATTGACAACTAAGAAAAAAAATTAACAAAAAAGAATGCCAATGAATTAGGCTCTAGAT